ACCCAAAAGGGCAGCTGAGCATGGAGGTGATGATGAAAAGGATGTTTACTTGCTGTGTGACAGAGACTGAGAGTTTTACACGGATCCTCCCATCTCATGTTCATAACCCTGTTCGTTAGGTTGTTTTAATCCTCGTTTTATAGATGAGGAGTCTGAGGCATACAGATGTCAGAATCTTGCCCAAGGTCACACATCTAGTGGTGAAACTAAGATCTGAGGCAGACTGAATATGCTCCCGACTCCGAACCCTTACGATGATATCTCACAATAGCGTCTGTCACAAGACAGGTTTTCAGGTTATGAAACATGAACATTCATCAGTTCTGCCCTGTTCCTCAGCCACGGTGCCCACTCCCTACTCTCGAGGCAACTGTTACCACTTCCGTGGATGTCCCTCTGATACATGCAGGTGCACACTTCTTCGCACAAATGTAATTCTCGTACACACTGTTCAATGCCTTATTCTTTATTACTTAACATATATAGGAGATTGTGCCACATCAATTATATGTAGACCTGCCTTTTTTTAAAGCTGCATAATCATCCAGGCTATAGACATGTTATAAATTATTTCGTCAGCTCCCTGTTGAAGGACTTTCGTTTCCAATTTCTGCTTTTCAAACAGTGTTGTGTAAAGACCCCCTGTATGTGCGTCATTTCTAGGGTGGTTATCAAGAAGAGTCTGCTGGGTCTGAGGGTCTGTGTATTCAGGGGTCTAACAGGCCGTACCCTTTCATCAGCGGTATGAGCGCATTCTTTCCATCAGCAACACGGGAGAGACGGCCCATCATGGCACACTTCTCATCCAAAAATAATCCCCCTCACAGTGAGCTCGAGCATCTCTTCACGTTTTGTCTTGTCTATCAAGTATTCACACAGCACTTAGTGCCCCACTCCATGTCCTCCATGCTTCAAACCCACTAATGCGTTTCACAATAGGGGTGACCGTTACCCCTTTTTACAGCTCAGGAAGCAGAGGCTGGGAGAGCATCAACAATCTGTGGGGTTACACGGTACAAAAGCGTAGGCAGCAGTGCAGCTCCAGGAATCGCCCGCGTCCATCCTTTGCGTGTTTATCCTATGGAGTTGTTGGTCTTTTCTGCATTTGATTTGTAGGAATTCTTAATATAGTAAGGAAATTACCTTTATCTATGAAAAGAGTTAGACATTTGTTTTTCTAGTTTGTCATTTCTCTGACTTTTATGTGGGCTCTGTTCATGCAGAAATGTATCTGTATGTATGTGAATGCACCCGACTTTTCTTGTAGAGTTCCTCTCAGTTTTATCAGGCTAAGAGAGTCCTGCCTTCTCCAAGATTTTCAAAACAATTCTTTCACATTTTCTTCTTGTAATTTTAGTTTTGTCTTTTACAATTAAAATTTTAATCTATCTGGAATTTATTTTGATGTAAGGTTTAAGGGTCAAGTTCTACTTTATTTTTTTTCCAGGCAGCAAATTGTCCATTTCTTGAACGGTCTTTCCCCACCAATCTGAAATGACCTCTGACATGGCCTAAATTCCTGTGTTTTGGGGACTCTTTCTGGATTACATTCTATTGAGGTACGTATTACTTACACCTGCTTTACAGATGAGAAAGTTGAGTAACGTGGGCCAGCTCACACAGACCATTCATTACCTGGTGGCCTCACCTTTCTCCCCGAGCTCTAGTGACTGCTGGCATGGGAGCCTCCCCAGAGCCTGTGCATGGTGAGGAAAACTGTGCTCCATAGAGGATATTTTCCAAGCTTAAAGCCGAAGAGCGCCCTGGTGAAGAGAGAACTCTGAAGCCAGGCTGAAGAACACACCCCTTTCTGGGACACCAGGGAGGCCTGGGCCTGAAGAAGCCAGGTCTGAGGCCAGCTCCTATGTCACCAATCCAGGAGTCACCACGCTGAGTTCTTGCAGTTACTCTGGACCCAAATCAAGGTGCTGGTTGGGAAAGGCAGAGAGAGGCAGCCACCTGCCCAGACCTCCTACCTGATGATCAGGACACCTAAGCGAGGACCTGACCTGAACCAAATAGTGTGAGACTGCAGTAATTTTCTGAACTCCTACTATAACCCCAACATTTCCTTGTAAGCATTCACAAGCTTTTAGGGCAACATTAATGCTGAACTGAAGAATGACAACCAGGGAAACCAGATCCAATTTGCGACAAGGCCCTCATTAACCAGACCGTTGGTCAAGAGAACTGGATATTGTACTGTTGCTTTGAGAGAGTCAAAGAGAAACAAAACAGAAACAGGATATGACAGAAAATCAAAGCAAACAGTTGCCAGAACGTAGGAACAGCGGGACCTCCTGAACCACTGGCCACATCTACATTCTGTGGGGTTATATGTTAGTTAAAAAAATAATAAATACATAACAATTATATATACATATAATAAAAATGGTGCTACAAATCTTCAAAGGCAAGAAACATCATTCTGGAAGTTACCACACCCTCTTCCTAAGGGAGAAAAGGACCAGTGCCTTCTAGAAACCTCTTCACAAGAAGGATCATGGGGGACAAAGGGACTTCCTACTTTACCTTCCACCATACTAACAGTTACCAAGAGCTCACTATATGCCAGGCTCTGTTTGAGTTCTCAGTGAGTTAATAATTAGTGAGCTAACAAAGCAGAACAGCTCGTTGGCCTTAGCATTTCAGTTAATAGAAATTTTCTTAGATTTTAAAAAAGTTTCTAAGTGTAAGTGAAATCTGAAACACATAACTACTCATCACTTGGCCTGGTTAGGTTTAGTCCCTGAGGAAGAAGGGGCAGGAAGACAGCAGAGACAGGAGGGACACCGCGGTCCTCCTCGTCCTGGGCTCTGTGCTTCGGCCTTCCGCTGCCCTGTCACTGGGCCCCACAACCACCTGGCAGCTGTTTACTCCTGCTCCCACTTCGCGGATGAGGAAACAAGTACACGGCCAGAGGTGGTGCCAGGACGCCTACCCTCCTGGCCATGGCCTGCTTTCTAGACGACATGGGAAGAGCGCAGCAGGCAGCGGTCTTCAGGGCCCCTGAGCTCTGGGGCATAACAGGAGTTCCCTCAGCGCCCTCTGCTGGTCTTTGTGGGGAGGTGACATGTGAAGACATGCACAAACATGGGTCCTGACCTCATCCTGGTGCTGTGCTGGGGCTTTATATTCATTAACGAAAAAGATTCTGCCAATAAGCCTTTGAGATAGAAACTATCCACCTTATACAAAGAAACTGAGGCTCAGAGGACTAAGCTGACTTATTCAGGGTGACAGACCTCATGAGAGAATGGCAAAGGGACAGTTATACCCCCATCTGACAAACTCCAGGTCTCCGCTGAAGACAAAGCAAGGTGTGAGCAGCAGCGGCCTGAGAACAGAAGCAGGGAAGCTGTCACAGGGCAGGGGCTATGGCCCCTTAGGAGTAGGGGGAGCCTTTGCTGTTTTACCTTCCCCAGAACCAAAGCACTTGTGACTTGAACAAATGTCCCTTCCAGAGAACTTCCCTGCTACCTATCTTTTCTCCATCTCTGGGGGAGGAGTGGTGCTTCCTTCATTAATTGTACAGAATCCAAACTCTTAGCACTAAGTGGACCCCTAGGGATATATGAGGGGAGGGCTTGCCAAAGCCTCGCAGTGAGGGAGAAACGGTCGGGATGTAGGCTTAGGCCTCCAGATATGCAGCTCAGGCACTGACCAAAGGCCTCAACATCTAGGGCCTGGAGTAGGCTGACTGGCAGGCAGCTGGCCTGGCCTGTTGGAGTGAGGGACAGGCCAAACCGGCTCTGCAGAATGACTTGCACAATCGCACACCATCATGACTGGGTGTCCTTCCTTGACAATGCACAAGTTACAAGCAGTGCCTATCCTGGCAGCTGTAATTAGTTTTACCTTTTGTTAGCTGAATCCATTTGAATGCTTTCTCCTTCCTCCCAGTGTTTGTCCTCAGGCTCCACCCACAGGTGCGGAAGGTAGTACCTTGCAGTGAGTGGTTCATCCACCTGAGCAGGGCCTCTGAGGCCCCAGATCCCTGGGAATAGCTCAGTGGATATATGGACAGAGGGGAAAAAGGGGTCTGCAGGGAGGGTCTTGGCACGGGGCACTTCAGGTGAGGACCAGGGGCTCCCAGGAAGGGAAGGTGCACATACAGCAAGAACTGCCTCTGAGAGCCTTGGGGAGAGAGTCTTGGCTAGAAGGGAGGGGCTGTTGCAGGACCCACATTCCTTTTTTTAAAGCTTTCTCTGGCCGTCCAGGAACCTGATTATCTTGAGAGTCTTCTTGACCATATGATTTTAGAAGAAAAGGTCCTTTTGTATCTTGAAA